TTATCCTGCTTGGGTTCCTTTGAGCTTCCTGAATTTGTAGATTCATGTCCTTTGTTAGAGTAGGGAAATTTCCTGTCATTATTTCTTCAAATATTCTTTCTGTCCCTTTTTCTCTTTCATCCCCTTCTGGAATTCCCATGATGCATGTATTAGGTCTCTCGTTGTTGTCCCATAACTCCACTAAACTGTGCTCAGCCTTTTGAGCCTCCATTCTTGCTGCTTTTCAGCGTCTGTAATTTTAACTGCCTTAGCTTCTAATTCCCTGATTCTTTTCTTCTGCGTGATCAAGTCTGTTGGTAAGTCCTATTGTGTTTCTCATTTCAGCTATTATCCCTTTCAGTTACAATATCTCTTTTTAGACCCTGATTTTGTCCTTGCATTGTTTTCTCTATTTCATTTAGCTTTTTGTCTGTGTTTTCCCTTAGTTCTTTAATTATGTTTAATGTTGTATTATAATCTTCCATTGTTTTTCATTATTTGTTCATCCCTAGATGCGCTTTCACACCCTTTGTCTTGTTCACTTGTTTGGGCCATTGTTTCTGTGTTCTTTGTGTGCCTTGTGATTTTTGTTGGGGCATTGGAATTTTCTAGGGTGTTAACTTTCTCTATTTTCCCCAATATTTGGTGTTTTTGCCCACACTACTTTCTGCAAGAAGCTCTTAGGTGTCGCAGAGCCTTTGGCCTTTGCTTACCATTTCCTCTCCCTCTCTATGATAGCTCTTTCTCCCTTCCTGGTTTAATTGGGATTCAAAAGTCCCAGTTCTTGTTTTTCAACTTTTAATCTCTCCCAAACGCACCAGAGAACATACTGTGGTCAGTCTGTCCACTGCGGGGTGCAGTCCCCCCCCCCCGCCACTCTGGTTATTACTCTCTGTTTCCGAAGTCCCGCTTTTAGTTGGAAAACCTACACCCAACGAGCCCCCCTCAGAATTGGGTATTGCCCACCAGTTTTGCCCACGGCTTCCTTCCCCGCTTTGTAAGGGTGGCTTATATCTGAGCTGACCTTCAGGGGAGGCACAGGCAGACTTTCCTGTTTCAGGAGGAGGAGGGGCTGGCACTTCCCAGAATGACCTCTGAGAGGTCTGTCTTGTTGGTTTCAGAGCCCCAGTGGCCCTGCAGTGGTTGGAGGAGCAGTCTCCACTTACATAATTCACCTCCTGGCCCCACTGTAGGGACCCTTCTGTAGGAGTTTGTATCCGTCCAGCAGCTGACAGTTAGCAGTTGGGGGAGGGGTAGTTACACTCCAAACGGACCTCCTGGGAGGCCTGCCGTGTTGCTGTCGGAGCCCGCCCCGTAGTATGTTGGCAGTGGGTGCAGCCTCCTCTCAAGGTGCCTGCTTCATAGCACACAGCAGCCTCAATCAGCACTCTTCAGCACCAACTGGAAGAGGGCGCAGACAGACCCAAACTGACCCCCAGGGAGATCTGTCCTGTTGGTTTCAGAGGCCTGAGCTATGGGGTGCATAGGGAGGCAGGTAGAGTGCTGACTATGGCAGCAGCTTCCACTGCAGGGGCCTTCTGTAGCAGTTTGCAACAGCCTGGTAACCAGCAATTACCAGGTGGGGGAGGAGGTGTCATGTTCTGGTCAGATAGAGGACTGCCTTGTTGCTATTAGAGTCCCCTGGTAGATCCTTGGCTGTGAGTGCAGCCTCCACGCAAGAGTCCTACTTCCTAACACACAGCAGCCTCAGTCGGCAGTTGTCAGCACCAACTGGAAGTGGGGGTAGTCTCACCCTAACTGACCCCCAGGGAGGTTTGTCCTGTTGGTTTCAGAGGCCAAAGCTATGGGGTGTGCAGGGAGGCAGGCAGAGTGCTGACTATGGGAGCAGACTCCACTGGGGCCTTCTGTAGCAATTCACAGCAGGTTTCCAGCTGACAGTGTCTGGTTGGGGGAAGGGTTGTCACACTTCAGATGGACCCCCAGGAGATCTGCCTTGTTGATTTCAGGATAGAAGCTTGGGGTGCTGTCTCTTTGTGCTCGCAGGGTCTGTGGTGGTTAGGGAAGCAGGCTCTTTTTCTGAGGCTGTTACCCTAGTTCATGGTAGGCAGCGGCCCACATGGTTGGGGGAGGGGCAGAGATGTGGGGGAAGTGATTTTCCTACTGTATGCACTGGTGTTGATTTGTTGATTCTTGCCTGTCTGCAGTTCCCAGTTGCTTTCTCCTCCTCCCCGACTCAAAGTCCCTCAAAATGAGTACCATTTCCTTGTGTTTGTGGGGGAGGGTCAGAAGGATGGTTTGTTTACATCATCATCTTCCCAGAATTCCTAAAC